TTCCCGCGCTTGTAGCAGTTTGCTTATTTTTTTACTCAGAGTTTTGTTACCTCCTGGCGTCATATGACATTGTAATAACCTGGTTAATTGACCGTCTGCAGGTTAGACAGAGTTGATTATGAACAAGCCTATAAATATTATGGAAAACCAGACAAAGAAGAAAGAAGATGCGACGACGTTCATTTCCCAGACATCTGTGCGTTCTATGTATCCAAATTTGGAGAACATAAACTGTCATGTGACTCAAAGGTTTGCGGCTCATCACGTGTTCAAATGGGCTGCATAAATCCAAATATGGGAAAAATTTCTGAATGGACGGATTTATCAAAGGAAACTATAGTTACTACGATGGAAAAAGCTGTGGAAACGAGTAGGAAAAACGGGTTTGGATTTCTGTTTCTTAGGTGTGGAAATATTCTTCAGGTCCTAACCTTTCCTCCAGTGTTGCAGGAAGTTGAAGGCGGCGACAACAGGAAACAGATCAGTGTAAATGTGATCAGCATGGATTCTCTCTCCAGGCCACATTTTTACCGAAGTCTTCCGAGAGCAGTCGAGGCTCTACGCAAGATAAGAAATAATTTTAAAATCAGTGCCACCGCCCTAGACTTTCAGAATTTCCAGGCTATCGGAGAACAAACTTTTGACAATTTGAGGCCGTTTTTTTGTGGTGTTGTAAAAGGTAAGTTCTGAAATTAACTTACTTACATCTCCCTAAGAAGACTGATGATATGGAAACCGCTAGTTGAAAATTTACTCGGCCAATTACAAATTGTGGTTTAAATCATTAACATGAGTAATTTTCTTGTAATGCGATTAAGCCAGCGATGGGGCACCCAACGCCGCCGCCGTTCTAGCGGCGTGCCACACTTAAATTTTGCGGTCTTCGCCGCTTGTGACGCAGTACCTCAGTATGACAGTCAGTCATAAACTAGATACGACCAAACGTCCGTGGAGAATTGTCTCAGTAGAGTCCTCTCGACAGGGCGTTCCTCGGGGGGGGAGTATTAGGACAGGAAGACGGCTTGTTCTGCAAACTATCTTTTCTAACAATGTTGATCTGAAAATTAACGGCTCTTGGTGTAGAAAACACAGTATACGTCACAGTAGAATTTCATCACAACCGGAAATAAGAAAACAGTGAAAACAATAGTGTGACGTGTACTATGTCTTCCACACCAAGTAAGAGCCAAATTAACTCACTGATTGGCTATTTAGCTAGCTGGCTGATAGGTTGCGAGCAGGCCGACTAGCTAGCCCATTAACTGACCTACCAACTCACATTAAACAATGGAGCTCACTAGAGTTGCTTGCTTCTTAGATGACAACATTCTTACTGACACCTTCAGGACCTCAAAGTATTCTTTAGGCGTAGAGGTCTTGTATGGGACTTTTAAGAAATGGGGCTACCAGACGCTTTTTCAAGAGGATCTCGTTTGGTTTGACTATTGGGGAATCATCCTGACAGACCTTGAATTAAGATCAAAGCCGACTGTAGATTCAGGATTCATGGCAAGGTGAGGCTTTTAGAGCTTTTTAATTAATTTTCCATCAAATTGGAATCTCAATAGAAGACACGTAGCCTTATGTTCGCGCGGAGAGGTCTGGGTCTGAGCCCTAGCTGGATCGAAACTCGACGAAATACCCATACTCCTTATCGCTGGTTGTTTTGGAAACCGGGATAAACTGAGGCGTTGTAAGCTTCTTGAAATGATTGTGTGTAAACTACGATTCAATTGGCGCGAAAGTTGAATGTTGTATTGGCTACTGCGTTCGAAACCTCTTTATTCTGATTACTCAACTCTCATTAAAAAAATTGTTGATTGGTGGATGAAAAGTAATGAAATATTTTTGTTCTGTCACGATGAAATCTGACTAATATAATACCTGATCCCTATTAACCCCTCAACTACCATTGGAGTGACCAAGACAAAATTTCTCCTTTCAATATCAATGCAATATCAAGTAGATAGGTGATAAGAATAAAGAAAAATATCAATCAAGGGATAGCTAACTGATCCAATACCAAATTCTCCATACTAACAACATGAGAACTGTCTTGCAGACAGTAAAGAGAATTGCTAATTAGATCTTGGGAGTAAGAGGGTTAAGGGTCCGTGATATTCTTTTTATCCCTCCCCTCCTGTCAGTGGCAGTTAATTGGCAATCTCCCTCTTCATACTTTGTTAGCGCCGACTGATCCCCCCCCTGTTTTCCCCTAAAAAACATAAGATATAGCTACCCCACAAATCCTTCTCCCACCTTCCCTCCCCCCCCCCCCCCTTAGGTGATAAATATTTACTGGCCTCTAAAAACTCTCCCCTCAGGTGGACTGAATTCAAAGAAAAGATGAGTAAGAAAAACATCGATGATTTTGGCATGACGCATTTTTCTGGGCCATTACTGAACCTAAGATACGGTGAAACAAACCATTTCGAAAGTCCCCCCAAAGTGTGCTTAAATGGTCAGTTCTTCAGTAAATATTTTATGGATTACATACAGACGGTTCACACCGCCATTAACAACGATTCTCGGACCAAACCACTATTTTCGTTCATTCACTTCAACACGGGACACGAACATACTGGTCAGCGGATTAGAAACACGGACGCCCATTTAGCAAAGTTCTTGACCAACATGGCTAAATTGCCGAACACTCTCACTATGTTAGTTTCTGACCATGGAAATAAAAATACGCGGTACAGCTACAAGACTGAGGTAGGAAAGAGAGAAGTTTATGACCCAATTGCTTTTATGATCATTCCCGATGGTGTCGCGAGAAGTCTGGGCAAGCAGAGGATGGCTGCCTTGGCAGAAAATCAAAGACGGCTTTTCACTTTTCTAGACGTACACAGAGCACTTATGAGTTTAAACGATCCGAAGAAAATGCATTCACGAGATCCTCTGGTTGCAGGCATATTTGCAGTCTTACCCGCGAGTCGCACATGTTCAGACTTGGACCTTATGCCACAAGCCAGATGCAAGTGTGAAATCAGCGAAAATTATAATTCGGTAGAAGACAACTCGGACAGTCTAAAGTGGTTGGCAGAATTTGCCGTTGGAGCTTTAAACGAAGCCATACAAAAACAGCATATGGAAGGTATGATAAAAAGGGTGCAAAATAACATTTCTTAGAGCTCTTCGATTGAGTTTCATTGAAACATAAACAAAGTGGTGTGGTGAAAAGGATCATGTAAATTAATTTTTCATGGGGCTCTTTGAATGAGTTTCATGAAACCATAAACAAAGAAGTGTGGTGGAAAGATGTAAAATTGTATTTGTCAGCGCTTTCCGATTGAGTTTCGTCAAACCATAAACAAAGTAGTATGGTGAAAAGGGCGTAGAGTAACTTTACAAAGCGCTTTTCGATTGAGTTTCATTAAACTAAGAAAAAAAGTGGGCGTCAGAAAGGAGAATATGACAAGAAGCCAGCGGAAGCACATAGTAAAATCAAGTAAATTGCTCGATGCGCGGGAAAACGCGGGCAACCAAGTCGCGATTGGTGTTAGTTTTTAATTTGATTGGTTGAGAGAGTGGCGCGGTTTTAGGGGCCAACAGAGAGCAAAGTGAGGCAAACCAACGCAAAACAGGATTACTTTGGAGACCCAACTTAAAATTTCTCTTCTGACTGTTTGTTTTTGTAGTTATCCATGTTAGGTGCTTTTTGATTCAATGTTTTTAATTTTTCCTTTAAGGTGAAGTTGATAAGCAGCTGTCATCGAACAAATATGGATTCGGAAACTGTCAGCGTCTGGTGGGAAAATCTTTTGCAAACATTGCACAACTCTCTCAAGGAGACAATGTTACCACGACAATGGATTTACGCGTAGTCCCTCCGAATGGACACAAAGAGGATGAAATTTTTAAGGTTTCTGTCAAGCAGCAGGCTAAAACAAAAGACAAAGTTTGGTTAACGAGTTTCATCCGGGTCTCTAGGTACAGCAAATTTAAGTCATGCGCAGATAAGTCAGTTGACATTAAGCTGTGTGCATGCGTCACACATCAAACCGCTGAAGCTATGAACAGCAGTGAAAAGCTTGTCAATGTCGCCATTCCAACCGAAATGTTTGGTTCAAAAACTATCATAAAAGACCTCCACTCAAGATGTCTCTTAATCCTCAGACGAAATCACGGAATATTTTCTTTCGCGCTGGAAGTAACCAACGTGTGTTTAAACAGAACTTACAAAACTGAATTAGCCGGCTCTTCAAGAGAAATAGTTACTTCCAATAAACTGCCTATTAATCTTGAGATAAGTCCAAGGACGTTTTATTTCTTGACATCAGTGAAAAGAGAAACCTCTACAGATATTATTTCTTTGAAATTTTATGCAAATGTGAAAGTCAGGTTTGCTAACTTCGACGAGTTTAAGGATTTGGGCAAAATCGACGTCTTGTGACCCCGAATTTACGAATTCCCGTTAGTAACTGTTGTAATAAAAATACTGTAGAGGATTATATATTATCTACTTTTTTCGCCATGAAACAACGGACCCTAATGTGATAGTGACGTCAGTTTGGTATCCAAGGCATAGTTGAGGCGTTGAACTCCTCATGGGACCAACTTAACTGAGAGAATGAAGTTCCTTTTACATTTGAAGTTTGAATCAGTTGAGTTCGTTCAACTGACTTTGGATTGCCCAACACATTTTGTCCGTCTGCTTCAGACGAATAGAACGTGTGATGATTGACTGAGGGACAAACTTCGATCTCTCTTTGAATCGAACTTAATGAATAAATTACAAATTGCTTTGTTTGAAATCCCGCTAAGCTAAAAATTCGTTTTTGCTGCTCTGAATTAGGTTTGACGAATGATGTTCGAAGCTTTCGCTCTGACAAAGGGCTGACGCTCAAAACGTCAGCTTTAGAAACTCAGTCGCCTTGACAAATCCGGCAAATTATATTCTCAAACCCTCCGTCGACGCAGCAACAAACAGTTACTTTAGAAACATTTCCCCTTCAATGCTCTAGGAATACGCATTCATGCCGGATTTAAACGGTCACCTAGATACTAAAACCTTTCGTGGACAAATTCACTTTCAAATCATTCATTTCATGAATACCTGTTGAAGACAATTACTAATGATGTCATAAAAACGTCGCTGCTACGATGAACTGGAGCCAAACTAAGGCTCCATTCAGAAAGTACAGAACGACTTTTGAAAAGTAATTGTGTCCAAGAAAGGTAAGCCATAAAATTTTAGCAGCTTTTGTTATTTAGTTTTAAAGGATCGATACAAACACCATCTATTTCGTTCTCTGAGCTTTACTGTGAACCTGTATGAAACTTGAAGTGCTGTGATATTCATCTTTGACTGGCAGTTACTACTACTCTTTAGCCCTTTATTTGAGTTACGTTTCATACAATTTCAAAACATCGACGCAAACTCCAGTATTACGGTGAAAATCACTCTGATTTCGCTGTCCGCAAAGAACATTTTTTATTTCATTTGACCGTTAACGTTTCTTAATTGAGACCCTACACATAACATCTGTGTCACTTTCGCTTTTCGCACTATACCACTACATCTTCCATTTTATGCAAGGTTCATTCGTACTTGCAGCTACACATCACGCCTAAGTCAAAAGCTAATCGCACCTTTCTTAATCCATTTCGTGTTAATTTACCGTCCTATGCAAAACAACATCTATTGTTCAAATGTTTCGGCAAATTACGAGCTGTTTTAAAAGAATCATGGAAACTCGCTGTCCACGTTTATCCAATACGCATCTACCAACTTGCTTAAACTTGAAGGTTAATAAATAACATCGGACAACTGAATATAACTACGTACTCAAGCTTAAACATTACGTAATCAGCACTAAGTTTGGGTCTTATTTGTAATCAACATATCATTGCGTCTTCCAAAATATTTAAAACATTAAAAAGGCTAATTTTGTAATAAGTCGAGACCATTACAGGATAAAGATGTCACAATCATATTATCGACCTTACCCATGGAGAGAAGTTAATCGGTATATTTTATAACATACTTCATACTTTTTTGGACTTCGAAACGACCTTTTGCTAAATATTTACAAATAACAACTTGCAATGTTCGCCTCGTGGCGATAGTTTTGTCCTTTAAGACGCGAGAGAGCAAGATAGTGAGTCTGAGTCCAGTAAGCTTCTTTGAACACAAACTTTAATTACTTGAGAGGCAGGTTACCTTTAGAGCTAACGAAACTACCACAACGCGATAGCGACTCTCTTATTATAAAATGTTTTTGTCGTGTAACCCGAGAACTGACACGTGAGTAGTCCGAAGTGATTACATAACCAGTCCAGAAAGTTACATAACAGTTGAGAGTTACATAAGAAAGAAAAAAGCAAACGTTGATGTCCGGAAGGTTTTTTGCATATCATAACATCTTTCCCTTTTTCCTATTTTTCTTAGTAGCTTCGTGAGGTGGTCTTGCACTCAGCTCTGTTTGAGGTGTTGGGGGTAGTTGAGATCTTGGAGGGGACATGGATGTTCCTACTTGAGAACTTGCTGGAGGGGGTTGGTCCTGTTCCTGCAGATTGTCTGGAACGGTCAGGTCATCTTCGTCCATTTTGAAGGGGGTTTCTTGAAGTGGTTCCATGGTAGAACGCAACTGCTTGCGATTACGCCTGTAGAATCTACCATTGACTTCAACCTTGTAACTGCGAGATGCCACTTTAGAAGAAACAACTGCTTTTGACCACTTTGTTTCTCCAGGCATCTTCATGCGCACTATGTCACCTGATTTGAGTTCTGAGAGTTGTTTAGCATGTTGGTCGAAATGTTTCGCTTGCTTGACACGATCCCTTTTGAGAAGATCACTAACTGTTTGGTCAGTCTTGAGTAAAGACTCTGAGAAGGGTAGAAGTGTCTTAGTTCGGCGACCAAAAAGTCGTTGGCATGGAGACATACCTGTCGCAGCAGTGGGGGTGTTGTGGTGATCCAATAAACCAAGATATGGATCGGATTGAGACAGAAGAGCTTTCTTCATTAAAGTCTTGCAGGTTTTGACTGCGCTTTCGGCCATCCCATTAGCTTGTGGATAGTGTGGTGAGGTGGTGATATGAGTGAACTTCCACGTTACTGCAAATCTTCGGAACTCTGAGGATGAGTACTGAGGACCGTTGTCAGAAACTACGTAATCGGGTACCCCATGTCGCGAAAAATGCATCTTCAGCTTGTGAACGACTGTCTGGGACGTAGTATCGGCAAGATGATCCAGCTCGATAAAGTTGCTGTAGTAATCAACTAATACGAGGTAGTTTCGGTTCTCGAAGGTAAACAAATCTGTTCCAACTCGTTGCCATGGCCTGTCAGGGAACTGGGTGAGGCTGAAGAGGTTCACTGGCTTGTTCAGGTCTCACACTTTGGCATATAGAGCATTTATCAATACGATTCTTGAGTTGTGCAGACATTCCTGGCCAGAAGAAAACCTCTCTGGCCCTTCGAGGCGTGCTTGGAGTCCCTGATGGGACTTGTGTGTTTCCTCTATCATGTCACGGCGAAGGCTCTCTGGGACAACGATCTTCGTTCCTTTGAAAACTAGGCCATTTTGGAGCGTCATTTCATCTCGGTATTTGAAGAAAAGCTGTGCGCTTGTAGGTACCATGGAAGTTTTTGTAGGCCAGCCAGCGCGTATAACTTGTGACAACGCTAGTAAAGATTCATCCTTGGCCGTTTCCACTTGAAACTTGGCAAGTGTCGACTCTGATATCGATAAGTCTTCAACAAAGTTGACAGTTTCTAGATCTTTATAGCAGGATGAGGTGCTAGCATTTGGTACCTTTGACTGCTTAGGTAGAACGCGAGAAAGTGTCAGCGATGTACATCTCTTTGCCTGGCTTGTAAGTGAGATTCAGGTCAAATCTTTGAAGACGTAGCATCATACGCTGTAATCTCTTAGAAGCTGTATTGATTGGCTTCTTCTGTATAGCAATCAGTGGCTTGTGATCTGTTTCGACTGTGACGTGCTTGCCATAAATGTAATGCTCGAAGTGCTCACAAGAGAATACAACAGCTAAGAGCTCCTTCTCAATCTGTGCGTAATTTTGCTCTGTCGACGTCAGTGCCCTGTTGGCGTAGTGAACTGGCTGTCCTTCCTGAAGTAGAGTTGCGCCAATGCCATACTGTGAGGCATCGCACTGTATAGTGACATTCTTACTCACGTCAAAGTACTGTAGGAGTGGGGCTTTAGTGATGAGCTCTTTTATCTCCTTGAAGGCTTTATCTTGGGGTGTTGCCAATGCCATTCTATTTCCTTCTTTTCCAACTGTCTTAAGGGCTGTGATGCTGTAGACAGATGCTGGCAGAATTTCGCCAGATACTGCACCATTCCCAGAAACGTTCTGAGTTCAGCGAGATTGGTAGGCACTGGATAGTCCACTATAGCTTGTACCTTTGACGGGTCA